CTGGGAGCCAGGACTTCTGGGTTAGATGTCCGGCTCTGGGAGGGGAGGGGAGTGGGGTCTAATGTGGGGGGGGCTGGGAGCCAGGACTCCTGGGTTCCATGTCCGGCTCTGGGAGGGGTGGGGGGCCCACTGGCTCCTGGGGGTGCCTCTCAGCGGCTCTGCCACCCCCCCCCCCGTAGCCCGGCTCCCGCGGAGCATCCCAGCCCGTCGCCGGGGGGCGGTGCCTGTTGCCATGGCGCGCGGTTGCCAGGGGGACGGGCGGGGGAGGAGGCGGTGACGTGCCGGGGTTACCCGAGGTGAGGCTGGGACCCGGGCTGAACTTGGCACAAATAGGGGCCGGAGCGGGCGCGCGCGGCAGACGCGGAGGGAGGCAGCGGCGAAGGGGCGTCGGGCCCTATTGCAGCGGAGCGACCGGCGGGCGGTAAGGACCCGGGGCGGCGGGGGCCACCGTGACACGCGGGGACAGGCCCCCTCCGCCCCCACACCTGCGTGAGGTGCCGTGTGTGTAGCTGTGTGTGTGCAAACGTGCCTGGTTCTGTGTGCGTGTGTGTGTCATGGCCGTGTGTGTAGCTGTGTGTGTGCAAACATGCCTGGTTCTGTGTGCGTGTGTGTGTCATGGCTCTGCCTGTGTGCGTGTCTGTGTGTGCATGTGTGTGTCATGGCTGTGTGTGTAGCTGTGTGTGTCATGGCTCTGCCTGTGTGCGTGTCTGTGTGTGCATGTGTGTGTCATGGCTGTGTGTGTAGCTGTGTGTGTCATGGCTCTGCCTGTGTGCGTGTCTGTGTGTGCATGTGTGTGTCATGGCTGTGTGTGTAGCTGTGTGTGTGCCGCGTGTGCATGGCTCTCCGTGTGTGTCTCTCTGTGTATGCATGGCTCTGGGTGATTGTGTGAGCAGTGTGTGTGTGCGCACATGGCTGTGGGTGCTGGTGTGGCTCTAGACGTCACTATGCTTGTATAACTTTGTGGGTGTTTTATCATTTGTTTGCCTTTCTGGCTGCCTACGCTTGTCTATGTTCATGTGCTGGGGTGTGTTTGCGGGTCTGTGTGTGTAGAGGGATGTGTATTTGTGAGGGCATGGTAACATGGGCTTGTGTGTATGACTACATATTGAGCATGTGTGTATTTGTGGTCTCTATGTGCGCAGATGGGGGTGTTCGGGTGGGCATGGATGGTGAGGTGTTTGTCTAGGCATTTTGTGGTGGAGAGTGCAGTTGCCTAGCTCTGTGTGTGTGGATTTGGGTGTATACACTTGTGTGTTAACAGTTTACATATATGGGTGTGTACGTGTTTGTGCCAGTGTGTTTGTGTGGGGGTGTATATGTCCATATATGGGTGTGCAGATATGGTGGTATATTTGTATAGTTGTGTGTGTGTGTGTTTGTTTGCATATGTGGCTGTGTGTATTTTGTGCTTGTGTGTACAGTTGTGTGCATTTATATGACTATTTCTTTGCATTCCTGTTTGTGTGCTTAGAAGGATTTGTGTGTGAGACTGTGTGTAGTATATAAATAGTGATGTGCATTTCTTTGCAGCTGTGTTTGTGTGACTGTGTGTTTGGAAGAGTGCGTGCCTTTATAGATGTGTGGGTCTGTGTGTAAATGTGCATGGCTGCACACATTTATTTCAATTCATGTGGATATATGTGTGTAAGCGAGTGTTTGTGTGCTGGATGTATGTGTGTGTGATTACGTGTTTGGATATATGTGTACCTCTGTGTATGTGATTGTGTTTCTGGCTGGTTGTGTGTGATTGTGTGGCTGGCTCTGTGTGTGCATGTGTGTGATTGTGTGGCTGGCTGGCTGTGTGTGATTGGCTGGCTGTGTGATTGTGTGGTAGGCTGGCTGTGTGTGATTCCTTCACTTTCTCTTTCCTAAATAAAACATTCACAATCCCTCCTCCTGCGCTGGAAGTGCGGGGGGGAGGGGGGGGATGACAAATCCCTCCCCCCCCCCACTCCTGTGCACCAGACAAAAATAGCAGCTAGCTCAGAGCAAGTTTGTTTGTCCTGGGGGGAGCGGGGAGGGCAGCACGTCCTGTCCCAGGGCTGGAATGCCTGGAGCAGGGACAGCGGGTCCGGGATCGCCCAGGCTGGGGTAAACCCCAGCCAGCGTGCAGGGAGGTTGGG